AGAAAGGATCGAACATTGTAAGGCGGCGAAAGGTTAATCACTGTTTGTTTGTTCATATTTCCCCGCGTTTTTCACCTCTCCTTCTCCCTTCCTACTCTCATTACGCCTTCGAGTTTCTCAATCTCTTCATCCATTCTTGTCGAAATCATCCCTATTGCTGAAGAAGGAACACCGATTTGTGTTCAATATGCATGCCGTGGTTTTGAATTCCTCCCCTTGCGCCAGAGCTCCGCAAACCCTTGGAACTCCTTGTTTACGTAGCTTCAAGGTTCATTTCGTTTCTTGATTTTGCTCTTCCTTTTTCATTCCTCAAAACTAAATTGATGAGTTTTTTTTGGATTTTCTTGTAGATTTCGACCTTATTATTTGCCCACGGCAGTCCTCTTTGGAGGAGATCATCTCGTTCCCGTCGTAATCGATTGCTGTTTAACTCACGTAGCCAAGGTACGATTTCTTTTTCCGTTCTATTCAAGTGGTTTGGATTGGTATAAGGTTCTGGTTGTTCATTCTATTTGGTTGTTTTTGTTTACTGTTAGGGTCGATATGCGATTAGTTGTCGATACTTTGACGAAGAGGATGTATAATCCCNCCCCCCCCCCTTCCGTTTTCCTCTTTCTTTTGAGCTTACTGATCTTTGTCATTTGATTTGGAATTTGTTGTTTATAGTTATTAGAGCTGTTGCAACTCCCGATTCGGCACTGGAATTGCCACTGACTGCAGAAAATGTTGAAAGTGTGTTGGATGAGGTTCGACCGTATCTTATTGCAGATGGTGGAAATGTAGCATTACATGAAATAGATGGAAATGTTGTACGGTTGAAGCTACAAGGAGCATGCGGCTCATGTCCGAGTTCTGTTATGACCATGAAGATGGGAATTGAACGGCGTTTGATGGAGAAGATCCCTGAAATAGTTGCAGTGGAACCAGTAGCGGATGAAGAAACTGGATTGGAGCTCAACGAGGAAAATATAGAGAAGGTGAATAAATTCTCACTTGGGTGCAAACTTATATGTCGTTTCTGGATCGTTTTTTTGCCTTGTACACACTCACCCACCTGTTATCTCTAACCAAGGGATACAACATATAACGTATGAGGGCCGCTCCCTCTCTGTGTTAGATCCCACATCGGTTGGAGAGGGGAACGAAACATTCCTTATAGGGTGTGGACACCTCTCCTTAGTGGACACGTTTTAAAACCTTGAGGGAAAGCCCAAAGAGAACAATATCCGCTAGCGTTAGGCTTGGACCGTTACATTTGGAGTTTTTTTTTTTTTTTTTTTTTTTTCACAGTGGTATAGCTTCCACGGGTTCTTTATATATATGTTTATTGAGAAATTGAGGGTCGGATTAAGCAAGCATTCCTTTTACCCAACTTCAACTAACCTTCATATGGCATCTTTCACTTTCTTAGATACTTTTGATACTTTTGATAAGACAACACTTTTGAACGGTTAGGAATCACGAACCTCCATAATGGTATGATATTTTCCATTTTGAGCATAAGTTCTCGTGGCTTTGCTTTTGGTTTCCCCAAAAGGCCTCTTACCAATGGAGATGTATTCCTCACTTATAAACCCATGATCAATCCCTTAATTCGCCGATGTGGGACTCCTCTTCCAACAATCCTCCCTCGAACAAAGTACATCATATAGTCTTCCCTAAGGTCTATGGAGCCCTTAACAACCTCCCCTTAAACGAGGCTTGACTCCTACTCTGGAGCTCTCGAACAAAGTACACCCTTTGTTCGACACTTGAGTCAATTTTGACTACACTTTCAAGGGTCCCAACTTCTTTGTTCGACATTTGAGGATTCTATGAACATGACTAAGTTAAGACCATGACTCTGATACCATATTAGGAACCACGAACCTCCACAAGGGTATGATACTGTCCACTTTGAACATAAGCTCTCATGGCTTTTCTTTTGGTTTCCCTAAAAGGACTTGTACCAATGGAGATGTATTCTTTACCCATAAACCCATGATCAACCCCTTAATTAGCCAACGTGAGACTCTTCTTCCAACAATCCTCAACATGAACCTATTAGTTCAAGCTGGTTGCAATGTCAATTAAGTGCACCCAATGTTCAGTGGCTGATTTTCTCATGGATTTGCTACTTGGTATTGGTCCAAAACTGCGACCAGCTTGGTTAGGCCTGCAGCATTAGTAGTCTATGAACCTGATACTAATCGAACATTAAAACTTATGAATTTGCTTGTTATGATATGAACCAACCGCTGTATAATTGAATCGTCCTGATAGATGCTGTTTGAAATACTTATTGTTCTACACTGTGTTATCAACTTTTCCCAGCTGTAAGAAATGCACGTTTTTTTCCCTTCATATTGACTATCCTTTCATCCAAGTTGGTTCGCATCCTTGCCACTTGAATTGGTTGTAGATTCCAATGAACTCCATGGATCCATGCTCCTTCAGAAGCTGAATTTTCTTTGTGCCCTTTTCTTAGGTACTGGAAGAGATAAGACCTTACCTTGTTGGGGCGGCGGGAGGATCCCTTGAACTTGTGGGTATCGAGGAGCCAATAGTTAAGGTTAGGATCACAGGGCCGGCCGCTGGAGTCATGACAGTTCGTGTGGCTGTTACACAGAAATTAAGAGAGAAGATACCAGTGATTGCGGCTGTTCAACTTTTGTCATAATGAATTTACAGAACACAATTGTAATGAGGGATTGTATTGTGTATAGTTCTTCATTATTCTGCTCTTCATAACAATAGAATCTGTTGTGTATAATGGTTGCATTGAGGTTTCTTGACTGTTGTTGGTGCTGTATTTATGTAAGAAGGTAGCCTCATGTAATTTTTTTAATATGATTTTCAAGGGGAAGGCACAAATAATTTCAATTACAATGAATGAACTAGCTTTAGCTTCTGTTTATGTATAGTTCCTTCTCAATTAACTCAAAGTTATAACTAAGTCGTGCTTTAGTTTGTTGAGTCATGAGCTATTTATACGAGTATTGTAGTCTACTAATTTTTGTAGAGTTTCTGACCGATGTGTTGTGTGTTAAGTTTGGAACAATGAGTATCTATGATCGTTGGTATACTAGAGAAATTGAGTTGTACTTGATTGAGAATGAGTCTTACATAAGAGTCCCAGGGTGAGTCTTATATGAGAGTTCGAAAATTTTAAATAAACATATAGAGAGTTTAAATGGACAACTGGAAAGATAAAGTAACGAACCTAGAGTAAACAACTATTTACTGAGTAATAATTTAATTACTCCTTAAGACATAGATGATGCAGGCCAATCGAGGAGGACGGGAGACTACAAGGAATCCATTTCTAAGTCTGTTTTAATTAAGTTATTTTTGTGTTGTAAAAAGTACTAGATTCACGTGTGTTACTTGATATGTATGAAAATGTTTCGACTTTTGAATTAAGTTATTTATGTCATTGGTAACTCCTGTGAATCAAGGTGTCGATTAGCGGGTGTCACAAAAATTCGACTCTTTGACATTCATTTGATATGACTAGTTGTCAACTCTGTTAAAGTTGTGGTTGTTGCTTATTTATTTGCTAGCCTATAACGTTACTTTCTTAAATCGATTGCTAATGTTTCCTAAAATTTTCTCCAACTCCATTTTGTAAACAATTTTCTCGAATACGAGACTAGAGACTTGAACATATGTCGTTCGTGCCAACGACAATCCACGTCTTAGTTGACTGACTTACACGAGAGTAAAAAAACACAATTAGTGCAATTGTGATACCACATAGTTTCCCTTATATGCAAATACAAACTTTCTTTTTTATTTTTATTTTTATTTTTATTTTCCTCGAACAAAACCCGACCAGCTACTTGGCTTAGTCGTTCCCCGAGCCAAAAACTTTTATCTACAAAATAATAATAATTAAAAAAAAAAAACATATGTGACCCTACAAAAACATCCAAAACCAATAATAAAATATATATATATATATATATATTTTTTTTAAGAAAATAGTTTACAAACAATATCTCTAAGTACTTTTCTTAAAAGTTGTCCAAACTTATCTCTTCCTCAATTTATTTTCATACCCAATTGGTCAATAAATAATTATTTACCTAAACATAATTAAATTATTCTAATATTACGTTACAATATTTGAGATAAATATTTAATATACAATTTATACATAAAAATAAAATAGTATTTTAAATTAATAAGTAATAGATAACTAGTAAAAATAATTAAAAAATAATTTTCAATTAACAATCCAATTAAACACTGTCCATTAAAACTACAAATTTTTTCAACCACAAATTTAATTGAATTCATCATAAAAAGCCATTATTGTAGATATATCTTTTAAACCACATCCATAAAAATTATGGTAAATTAACATTTTTTTTTAAAAGAATAATAAAAAGTTTTATAAAATATAAAGTAAAGCTTGGAGTGGTCCGTTCAAATATGGAGAGGAGAAGAATCAATTAGTTTATTTATCCATTTATAGGTAAATAAAATTATAAAAAATTATAAAATTTCTAAATTTTTTTTAAAAAATTTAATTTTGTAATTAATACATTCGTCAGATTTTTTTAAAATTTTTTTTTTAATTTTTTATGTTAAAAGAATGGAACATTTTTTTATAAGGATGAGGAAATCTGTCGGGAGTAGACGCGTTTTAAAAAGTTGAAAGGAAAAGTCCAAATAAGACAATATTTGCTAGCGGTGGGCTTGAGTTTTTACAAATGGTATCAGAATCAGATACGGAGTGATGTGCCAACAAGGAGGCTGAGTATCGAAGGAGAGGTGGACATGAGGCGATGTGCTAGCAAGGACGCTGGGACCGAGAGGGAGATGGATTGAAAGTTCCACGTCCATTAGAGAAGAGATCAAATGCGAGCCAGTGGATTGTGAGATATTTTGGAAGTGAGTAACTGTAAATTTGAAATTTGAAATTTGAAAGTTAAAAAATTAAATTTAAAATTTTAAGATCACCCGTTTAGCAGTATGAGTCCACACTTTTTTGAAAACTTAGTATCACATTTGAGAAGCAAAGGGGGAAATTTGTTCTTCTTCTTCTCTCTCTCTCTCTCTCTCTCTCCTTTCTGCCATTTCGATCCAATCCAAGCAACGCCCCCAGCTGTATCCAGTTTCTCTTCACCCAGCGGGGCCTCTCTTTATAAGCGCCGACATACCCATCAACCCTTTGATCTTTCGCTCCATTCATCTTCAAATCTTCCCTTTCGATTTACACCCATTTCTATTTCCGTTACTGGGTACCGACGCCCTTGAATCAGCGCTCGATGAACTAGCCACTGCTTGCTTCATCGCTTCTTCCTCAGCCATGGCGGCCGAGCCTCCCAGTTGGCACGAAGGCATCTCCTCGGACAATACCAAAGGCTTCATTCTTGCTCTTTCTTCCAGCTTCTTCATCGGTGGGAGCTTCATTGTCAAGAAGAAGGGCTTGAAGAAAGCCGGTGCGTCGGGAATCAGAGCAGGTACGATTCTTCGGAAATTGTTTGATGTTCAATGTGTGTTTGGATTTTTTCGTTTTAGTTCGATTGATTTCTGTTTTCTGAATCGAAGCACGTTTTGATCCGATATGGTAATATGAGATTGATTTGATAATGTTTTTTATACTCTGGATTGGCGTCCTGCCATGCTTGATTTCTTTTAGTTTTGTTGTGATTTTGCTGATTGAATCCTTTCAGGAGCTGGCGGATTTACTTACTTATATGAGCCATTGTGGTGGTTGGGCATGATAACAAGTGAGTTTTAAGCGTTCTTGGCGATTGGTTATTGATGTTTATGATTTCAAATTGAAGAACAGTAATAATCAAATCTTCCATTTCATAAGTAACTGATCTGTTCTCTTAAACTGGTTGAAACATCGATTCTTGAAAGTTCTTTTGATTCTGTCTTCTTTGTTTATAAGATCGCCCACGGCTAGCATACATTGTCCATTTTGGCCCGTTACGTTTCACTATTAGCCTCACGATTTTAAAACGCATCTATTAGGGAGGGGTTTCCACACCCTTATAAAGAATGTTTCGTTCTTCGTTCCCCATTCTTGCACTCTAGATGAATCTCTATGGACTTTACCTCGGCCATAGTTATAAATTTTTGCTATTTTTATGTATTAATCATAAACCAAATGAGTTCTTCATAGTTGGAAAGTGAATTTGGATATAGATCTGATGGATTTCTATCATTTCAACAGTGATTGTTGGAGAAATTGCTAACTTTGTGGCATACGCATTTGCACCAGCCTTATTAGTCACTCCTTTGGGAGCTCTCAGCATCATAATCAGGCATGGATCAAACATTGCTCAAACTTAAAGCTTAATTTTGTTGGTTTCAATCCTAATTTCGGATCTCGTCGTCCTACAGTGCTGTTCTTGCACATATCATTTTACAGGAGAAGCTACACATTTTTGGAGTTCTTGGTTGTATACTATGCGTGGTCGGTTCCACAACGATTGTTCTTCATGCTCCCCAAGAACGTGAGATCGAATCCGTGACCGAAGTTTGGCAAATGGCAATGGAGCCAGGTACAAAGCTGCCTGGATTCAGTTGTTTCGTTTCAGTATATCGTTTTCTTTTCGACTTAACCAACAATGAACTCTTTTCCATGGCAGCTTTTCTTTTGTATGCAACTCTGGTCATAACTTCTGCAGTTATACTCATATTCCACTTTATACCTCAATATGGTGAGACACACATAATGGTTTATATCGGAGTTTGTTCCCTATTAGGTTCGTTATCGGTACGTATGCTACGTTCTTCGTTAACTGCTCATTAGCTTTTGTTTCCTTTGCATCATTTCTTCATGGTTAGGGAAAAGAAAGTTGAATGGTTCATTACTATGCAGGTTATGGGTGTTAAAGCTCTTGGAATTGCCATGAAGTTGACATTATCTGGAGTGAACCAGCTAGTTTATCCACAAACTTGGATTTTTGCAATACTTGTAGCCACATTTTTGCTGACCCAGATGAATTATCTGAACAAGGTAGCCATGCTTTTTTCTTTCCAGTTTCTCTCGTTTTCTCGTGCTGCCATCTTTGAGTGATCCCTCCTATTCGTTCCCGTTGTCGATCCTGCAGAGTTTATATGTTGAAGAGAATCTTGCTGCTATATAATAAGAAATACAGTAGTTTGACTGATAATCCATAAATTTACTGCCACTTTTTCATGCATGGTTCATTTTTGTAACGGTCTGAGCCCACCGCTAGTAGATATTGTCCTTTTTGGGCTTCTCTTCAAGGATTTAAAAACGCGTCTACTAGGGAGAGGTTTCCACACCCGTATAAAGAATGTTTCGTTCTCCTCCCTAACTGATGTGGGATCTCACAATCCACCCCTCTTCGGGGCTCAGCGTCCTTGCTGGCACTCGTTCCCTTCTCCAATTGATGTGGAACCCCCCAATCCACCCCCCTTCGCGGCCCAGCGTCCTTGTTGGCACACCGCCTCATGTCCACCACTCTTCGGGGTCCATCGTCCTCGTTGACACTCGTTCCCTTCTCCAATCGATGTGGGACCCCCCAATCCACTCTCATTCAGGGTCCCAACATCCTTGCTGGCACACAGCCTCGTGTCCACCCCCCTTCAGGGCCCAGCGTCTTCGTTAGCACTCGTTCCCTTCTCCGATCGATGTGGAACCCCTAAATCCACCTCCCTTCAAGGCCTAACGTCCTTGTTGGCACACCGCCTCGTATCCACCCTCCTTTGGAGCTCATCCTCCTCGCTGGCACATCGCCCCGTGTCTGGCTCTGAGACCATTTGTAACAACTCAAACCCACTGCTAGCAGATATTGTTCTCTTCCGGACTTCCCTTCAAGGTTTTTAAAATGCGTCTACTAGGGGGAGGTTTCCACACCCTTATAAAGAATGTTTCGTTCTCCTCCCCAACCGATATGAGATCTCACAAATTTCCACCTTGAAAAATGATGTGTACCTATTTCAATACGATAATTTAACACGAAATGGAGATGATCTATCATGATTCGTGCTGTACTTGTTTACCTTTTCTTCTCCTTCTCATTGCAGGCCCTTGATACTTTTAACACTGCTGTTGTATCTCCCATATACTACGTGATGTTCACATCACTGACCATTTTGGCAAGTGTTATCATGTTTAAGGTACATTCATAATATGTTTCGACATGTTTTTCGCAATTGATTGGTAATTAATACGCTTACTAGAACGTGTTTCTCAACAAGTATGCAACATATTTATGTCCTTTTAGACTCGTTCTATGCCTCTTCGGCGTCATTCATCGTAAGATGTCAATACCGACACAGCGATAACAATTGATCATTCACTTTCAGGATTGGGATAGGCAGAGCCCAGCACAAGTCATCACAGAATTATGTGGCTTTGTGACTATTCTTTCAGGAACCTTTCTTCTTCACAAAACAAAAGACATGGTTGATGGTAAGTAAGCGCATCGACCTTTTTCACATTGACTGATTTTACACAGCTTGTCTTACTCCGGTGTTCGGTTTCCAAATCCTACAGGTTTATCGACATCGTCGCCAATTCGACTTCCAAAGCACGTGGACGATGACAGATATAACGGCTTGGAAGGCATACCTCTAAGACGGCAAGAATCCATGAGGTTGCCATGAAGAATTCATATGATGCTCAGTTTGAGCGTTCTAAATTTGATCATATTCTTTAAACAAAAACACTTCCTCTTCTTCTGATAATTGCAGTTCCATTGTGCATACAAATTCTCTCCCTGTACATCAACAGGATTGTAAGTTTATACCCCATTATTTACAAATAGATTAATTCCGACATGTCGTAACTGGAAATGGTCTGGTGCTACCATATTTCTTTTGTCTGCTAAATAATAAATTTAATTATAGTACCAAAAATAAATAAATAAATAAAAGTTTAGTCTTAATTTTAATTTTTTTTTTTTTGTCCATTAAATAAAAGTTTAGTACTGGACACGTAGCTTACCGAATCAGTTGCGACATGGATGGGAATGCATGCTCCGAAAGATAGGGTCGAGTTTGATACATCAAACGTCTACTCAATATCCTTGTATGAATCCACAATCACTACACAAGATTGAACCTTAGTTTGGTGAATTGAAGTTGGGAAGCAATCTTCACTGGCACAAGGATCTCCTCACAGCAACCTCCACTACGAACAATGAGTTTACGGAAGACTTCAATAAGTCTTATTTTCTTCAATTTTCATTTAAAAAAGTAGGTTGTGAGTGTTGGATGATGGAAGTCCCACAACTAATTACTACGACAATATCGAGTAGTGTTCGTCTAACAGTGGTTCGAGAGGAGAACGAAACATTTTTTATAAGAGCGTAGAAACATCTCTCAAACATGTGTTCTAAAAGTAGGTATTGAATCATTATTTTGAATATAAAATCTTGTGTTTCATGAATGAATTGTGTTTCATGAATGAATTAATAATCTGATCAACTCAACCGTATATTATCAAATTAGCTGGCTCGAATTTATTGTTAATTTATATATATTTCACAATTTATTTATCAAAATTAAATGAAAAATATTAGTTTGAAAATAAATAAAAAATAAATAAATGTTTTACAATATTAATATTTTATATTTAATAAAAATAAAAAATTAAATAATTGATTGGACAATCAACTCGATCCAATATATTTTATTTTTTTCAATTAGAAAAAACATTTTCTATTGCAATTTTTATTTATTAGATTTATCAGAAAGAAATAGTTTGGAGAAAACAGAGGGTGGGAGAAAAAAAACCGGGTCTGAATTCATTCGACCGGGCGGCTCGGATAGCGAAACGGTAATTTGCAGGCGAATTCCGGTCCACCAATACTGAGCAGACTAAACCAGCAAACCGACATGAACACCGAACCTGAAAGCTTCCCGTCTCTATCGTGTTCTCGTCTCTCTCCCCTTGCCTATTCATCTCGCGCCGCGCGCCGCGCGCCCTCTAATCTGTTCCTCCACAGTGCTTTTTTTTTGTTATTGATTCAATTTCGTATTTCGATTTCTTGTCGATTCGGTTGAGTTCGTGTTCAATTGCTTGGAGTAGAAAGGGGAGGGAGACAGAGACAGCGACAGAGACATGGAGACTTACTTTAATCACAATCTGTTCGAGAGGCGTCCCATTGTGAAGAACAAGACTCCTGCTGCTAAATGGATCAAAGAATGGTAATCTCTTTTCTTGCCGGATAATTCTACTTTTGTACGCTACCATTGATGGAGCTCTTTCTTCGCTTAGGGCTTAATTGATGAACTATAACTCTACGATTTCCACTACTATCTTCTGTAAGAGAATCAAAAATAATTTCTCCTGCAGAGACAGTTGCAGTTTCCTTCATGGCGTAGGCTGAAATCAAGGGATTGAATTGGGTTTCTTTTCGTTTACAGTAGCATTGAAAGAATGAGAAACACAATCAAATAGATATTACTTTAGAAGAAACAATTGAATCTCGCTTAAATAGGAAAGAAGGGGGATTTTGTATTGTGTACCCAGGCCTGCTGATAAATATAGATTTCTTTTGGAGGATCAAAGAAAATGTAGTAAATAGGAAAGAATTGAAATATCATATTGCATCCATGTGTTGCGTTTAGGCTGTTAGTTCCATAATAATCATGCTAGTTGCTTTTTTAGGGTCCCCCAAGATGTTGTTGCAACTGGAGGAAAGTGCTTACTTTTGAAATGGGTCACAGGTACTATTTATTTCATTACTACACTGTTATTTTTCTTTGTTGTATTGATGTTGTCTAGAACGTGGGACGAAAAGGATTCCTTGTAGTGGTTAAAGACTTCAATGTTCGTTCGATGTTGGTGTTGCTTTGTAACTTCTGGAACTTCGTACCCGTATTATTAGATTGAAAACTCTATGACCGTGCACTGTTCAGAGGAAGGAGTTTTGTGTTTGGTGGATATCTGTCTAAAAGATGACCAATGCCTTAGAATTGTTTAATGTCTGCTTATAGATATCGAAGCCTTATGACCTTTCTTAAATAAATAGAAGGCTATTGAGTGTTATTGTTGTCTGGAACGGATATCTTTATAAATCTTGGATATGCATCTGGTACTTTTGATTGGATGTCTGATTTATTATCACTATTATTTAATGATTCTGGAAGCTTTGTTTCATCAACTCACCTGTAACAGCCCAAGCCCACCGCTAGCAGATATTGTCCTTTTTGCGCTCTCCCTTTCGGGCGTCCCCTCAAGGTTTTTAAAACGCGTCTGCTAGGGAGAGGTTTCCACACCCTCATAAAGAATATTTCGTTCTCCTCCCCAACCGATGTAGGATCTCACAATCCACCCCCTTCGGGGCCTAATGTCCTCGCTGGCACTCGTTCCCTTCTCCAATCGATGTGGGACCCTCAATCCACCCCCTTCGAGGCCCAACGTTCTTGCTGACACACTGCCTCATGTCCACCCCCTTTCGGGGCTCAGCCCCCTCGCCGACACATGGCTTGATGTCTAGCTCTGATACCATTTGTGTAACAACTCAAGCTCACCGCTAGCAGATATTGTCCTCTTTGGGCTTTCCCTCAAAGTTTTTAAAACGCGACTGCTAGGGAAAGGTTTCTACACCCTCATAGGGAATGTTTCTTTCTCCTCCCCAACCAATGTGGGATCTCACATCACCTTACTTCATACATGGAGTAAGTAAAATAAATTGTGATAATTTGCTTCAATTAGGTCCATGCTTCAGTCTTATCTATTTTTTACTTGTTTATTTTCGCTTATAGTTCTTTTTTACCCCTTGTTTTTTTATCTCAGAGGATACATTGAAGGCATTAAAGGAGAAGACAAAACAATCGGAGGCACCAGAACCTGAACCAGAACCCACAACTGAAGTGCTTTTCCTTTGTAGCTATGAGGGCTGTGGAAAAACATTTATTGATGCAGGTGCTTTGAGGAAGCATTCTCACATTCATGGGGAGAGGCAATATGTTTGTCACTACGAAGGTTGTGGAAAGGTACTGTCCTCTTTTTCAGATTTGTTAGAACTGAACTAGGACATTGCTGTAAAATTTCGCTGTCGGCATTGGCATGGTAGTCAACTTGGTCTGTTATTATTGTGAGTAACTAGCTATTTATCAAAAGAACATAAAATTCCATCATCATTCTCTTTTCATTTTGCAAATGATATTTTCTTCTGTTTTTCATGATAGAACCTTGTATGTTAGTGAATAATCAATAGGATCATATTCGCTTGACTCCTGCCATATTGAGTTGAAGTGAGTATACTATATTTGTAGTTGTCACCTGCCATCAATAAGGCGTTATATTATTATTCATCAAAATAGTTTATCACATGAATTATTTCTCATATTCTTATTTCATAATTCTCCTTGTTTGTCAAATTGTATGTCCACACTGAGAAATATATCTTTTTTACAGAAATTTTTGGATAGTTCGAAGTTGAAAAGACACTTTCTTATTCATACTGGTGAAAGAGATTTTGTGTGTCCTCATGAAGGCTGTGGTAAGGTGATTAATCAATTCATTGTGAAAAGATCTGTTCAAAATTTTCTTGTTTATTCATTTAAGTCGAGCAATAAATTGTTGCTTTTATTACATTTCATTAATAAGCAGGGTAGGGTACACAGATTGGACTGGCTATTTCGTTATGTGCTGTCAAAACTTTAGTATGGGAGCTATGCTTGGAGTGAAATAACATGATTTTTCTTGGGGGGAGAATTTCAATATTGTAAGGAAATTATGGGCACTTAATAAACACGTTGTGTCTGCCTGGTGCACTTTAAGGAAACTTGTGTTATCACTCAATGTGAGATCCCACCTCGGTTAGAGAGGGGAACGAAGCACCCTTTATAAGGACGTGGAAACCTCTCCCTAGCAAATGCATTTTAAAAATCGTGAAGGGAAGCTCGAAAGAGAAAGCACAAAGAAAACAATATTTGTTAGTGGTGAGCTTGGGCCGTTACAATCTTACAAGCTCCGAGATCGGTGTTTTTGTTCCTGTTCCCCATGACAGTAAATGTACTAAAGTGGGCATGATAAGGCATCCAATAAAAACTCCCCAATTGGTCGAGAGTAATAAATTTGTTGCTTATCTTGAGCTCTTCATGCAACTTTTGTTTACTTTTACAGCCTGCTATATTGCGAGCAGTTGTACGCCTTTCTAAACTTACTCCCAAGAACTCGGCCTACATCCAAGGATTTTTCTTTCGCAATTCAGAAATGTATCTCACTATTAATCATGATATTAACCTAATATCTTTTCCATTTGGGGAGGAGATTAATCTGTATGTTAAGTTGGTTGTGGTTAGAAATGCCTCTCCACTTTAGATTGTGTAAATTAGAACTCCGTGAAGTAAACGGTGTTCTTAAACAAATCTCTGGAATGTGTCGTGCGTGTGCTGAAACAGCAGCGGACTTGGTTGCATACTGGAAATTGAATCACATCAGGTTTCTTGTTGTCAGTCTTGGGACATCATAGAATGCCCAGCTCTTCTCAACAATTATTCCTTGTATGCAGCATTTGTTTAGTTACTCGTTCGTGCTTAGTGCACACTCGTTCGTGCATTACTAGAGAATCATATAGCTTATTTCTTTTCATGTGCAAAGTAAACCTCTCCACACTCACATTTTCGATGTTTCTCTGTAGGCATTTTCGCTGGATTTCAACTTGAGATCGCATATGAAAACGCATTCACAAGAAAACTATCATATCTGTCCATACCCTGATTGTGGAAAGAGATTTGCTCACGAGTACAAATTGAAAAACCACATTACATCTCACCATGAAAAGGTATTATGTGCAGTGCTCTATCTCTCACACATTTCCTTTTCATTCTTATA